TCGTGATTGCAGACTGTGGAAATTTACGCTCAGTTGGCTTGAACCAAAGATCTCTACTGAGTAGCCAAACATTATAGTTGAAAGAAGAGAGTGGGAGGGAGAGAGTGATAGTAAGAGAGAGTGAGGCTGCGTGCTTGCGCTATCTGAAGTTAATCCTGACTGAAAGTTATGTAGCTTAAATGGATTTGGCTAAGCTAAAGCTGATTTCTGTATAAGCCTTAGCATATTCAGAAAGAGTTTCGTGAAGAATATTTAATAATAACTAAAATAAATATTGTGTTATTTTAATTTAATTTATTTCCTATGATAATCTTAAGACTGCAAAAAATTGATTTTGATCTTAGCTTAAAAATTTGTCTAATATTTCTAACAAATTAAAAAAATATATATAAAAATTATTTTAGTTTGCTTTGTTTTAAGCAAATATATTAAGAAAGCAAGAAATTTAGGGTGTCAGATTTAAATTGTAATATAAAACTGAAGAAATTCGATAGAAATTTGCAAATTTGTAATATTCATAATATAATGAGCATTGACCAATAGAGATTAATACTATTTCTAATAATTATATATCATTAGTTATTTATGTTATTGATATTAATCAGCTGTTGTTATATTAAGTGATATTTAATAACAAATTATCCTGAGAGTGTACTGCGAGAGAAACTTAAAACAGTCAAACATTACAGTGTCAGAAGTTTTTTGGAAAATTATAAAAAATATAAACGGCGAGATGATTCATGTTTCATCAAGGTAATTCTAGCTCTCATATATCAACTCATACAAATCAGCTTTCAAGCACTCAAAAGTATCGAAATAATTTGCTATTCACCTTACATCAATGATAGTGATATAGATATGTTCCCAAACATCAAAAATACAATGCAAGATCAACCTTTGACAAGTTTTCACACTTCAAATAGGTTCCCTCTGGACTCATCCACAGCCTAAAAATTGGCTTGAGCATGCGGAAATATGTCGACTTCTCATAAAAATATTTTTTTTAAAAAATAATTCAGCCATTTGTTACTTTATAAAATCATCCTCGTATACTAATCTAAATACATTTTAAATTTTATTTTTAAGTGCATCAAACTGCATCCGAAACTTTATTTTAATGCTATTTAAGCTAATGTCATTAATTGGATTGAATTACTATTTTCAGTTATTTGTTTTTCTATATATAGTAAATAGAAAAGTGGTCGGAAAATCGCATGCATGTTCGCATAATTTATGTAAAATTTGCGTGTGGTGTCATAATTATTTTTTGGTATTACTCAAATTATGCACCCAAAGGGCAGCTGCGACAGGCCCATTGGCCACATTCAGCTGTTCTACTAATAGATTACGCTATCCGATAATTGATTACAAATAAACACACACACAGGCCTAGGCACAAGCCGTTAGCTAGCCATGCATATTTGTTTAGGCAGGAAAAATCGTCAAGGGTTGCACCTTGACCCGTGCCAGAACCTGAACCTGAGCCCGAGCTCTAGGCCTGACCCACCCTAACAGCGTAGCTTGACTTTTTGTTTGGCCAGGTGCTAGAGTTCCCAGCTACGCTCAGCGAGCGAGAGGGCGCACTGCACTTCCATGCCAAGCAAAATGCACTCCAGAAAATCAACAAACTTTGAGCAATATAAATCTTTATTAGCTTCATTTGTGGGCAGGGCGACAATCAATTAGACAATGTCATTTGCCCTGTCATTCACGACACGCTCGACTTAAACTAAGCAGCTTTGCAATGCACTTGCCGAGGACCCTCTCTTTCTGTCTCTCTCTTTGTCTGCTGTGGGGCACTCAAGTGAGCGGTTTGTAATGAGCTTTACGTGCTGTCTCTATCTCTTTTTCTCTCTATCTATTTGTCTCGCTTTTGATTAGTGCGCGTTTTCATTGCGCACATGTCGAATGCGTCATTAGAACATTTAAAAACCGCAACTGCGGACTGAATTTACACACGAGGGGAAAAGCTTATGCATATGGAACAGATAACATATGGTCAAATCTGATAGAGATATATATATATATATAGAATGTTGATATGTTGGTAGACCTTGATACTAAAACATTACTAAGGAGTAAAAGTGGTGAAGTGGAAAGTAGAGGAAGAGAGAGAGAGAGAGAGAGAGAGAGAGAGAGAGAGAGAGAGAGAGAGAGAGAGAGAGAGAGAGAGAGAGAGAGAGAGAGAGAGAGAGAGAGAGAGATAGAGAAAGAGAGAGAGAGAAAGAGAGAGAGAGAGAGAGAGAGAAACATATATAGAGAGAAAGAGAATCAGAGGGAAGGCATAGCGAGGAAAACATAGAGACATAAAATGAGAGATGTTATAATAAAGAGAGAGTGACACCGAGAAAAAGTTGAATATGGGGAAATGAACGAAAGACACCTAGAGCGAGAGAAAAAGCCCGGAGAGAGCTAGAAAAATGAAAAAAGAAAAGACAACGAGAGACTCAGAAGCAGGGTTAGGGTGAGAGGAAGAGATAAAGTTAAAAGTGGAGAAAGCTAAAACGATACATTGAGAAAGGAAAGGAAGGTAAGACAGAAAACAGAATATATAGAGTGCGAGAGTGAGAGGGAGCGAGCTAAAGATAAAGATAGGGAGATATTAGAAGGTAAGGGATGGAGGAGAGAGAGATGGCAACACTCTTGCACAAATATCTATTGTATAATACATATATTATGAAATATATATATATATATATATATGAAATATATCAGTTCATCGAATATGGTATTAGATATATATGTTAATATAAAAAATACTTTTTTTTTAAATTTATTTATTTAGTTGCAGCGTATTGTCTTAGACTCTATAGCGCATTTAGCTGTAAACCTTATCTGAGGGCAGAATTGCCAATAATTCTGCGCTTATTGCTACTACCTTAACTAATTCTAAGATTATCTAGAGGATGCAATCTCTTAAGTCTTCGCCTATTGTTGTTTATAGCCAGGTTGCTTGCGAGATGGTTAGGATGCGTTGTAGGTCTGTAGGCGTATCTTGAGCTCAGCGACTGTGGGATTTGCTAAATCCCTATGTAAAACTGAGTTTCTCACAAACCAGCTGGCTCCAGTCCATCTGCGTAGCGCTTTATTCAGCAGCATCTGAATTTTGTTACTTGAAGTCCTCGCCGAATAAAAAATACTATTTAGAGTATATGAAAATGTGAATATATATTAAATACATAATACATAAATACAGATGTTTTAGCTTTGTTTTATTTAATATATATATATATATATATCTATATCTATATATATATATTGGCTGATTAAACTATTCCATCAGATAACATAAAAACTAAATAATATTATCAAATAAATATTTAGAGTCAAATTGTTTTTAAATATATTATCAAGCAGCCCAGCACATTTGGGAATTGCGTTGGCGAAGTCTAGAAGTCTCCAGCTTGGGCTGAGCCAATCTATTAAATTGAAAGCAACAGCGTTGGCCATTTTATAATTTATCAAAATGAGAATTGATGCACAGAGCGCAGAGCACAGAGCTCGAGGTATTTGTCGTTGGGTTGCAGCGAGACATGGCTATAAGCTGAAAGGCAGCATGCCATTCACATGCTTCATTCAACCTGTGCTGGAGCTGGAGGCGCAGCGCCAAGGGACCAAGTGGCCGCATGCCACGCGAGATGCCATCGTAAATACCAAAAATGCTTTGGCAAATATTTAGCTGCACTCTTAGTGACACGCGCGCGTGCTTGCCCCACCTCAAGCTGGCAGCGCCAAGTATGCTTTAAACTTGGCTGCAATTCTCTTTGTTGTGCGGCTATTATTGGCTGTTGTTGAGTTTGTTGAGCGCGTAGACAGGGAGAGCGGGAGAAGTTGCAATTCGTGACTGCTTCGTTTCTTTATTTACGCTTGCATTTTCATTTCAAGCCCTGTAAATAGCATTAAAAATAATTTTTGCAGCTTAAAAAGCATTACACGCAGCGCTGACAGGCGACGGCTTATGCACTTAATGAAATGTACACGGCAATTGTACTGCCAAGGCGAAAGGACACACAGAGAAAGAGAGAGAGAGACAGAGACAGATTGAGAGAGAGAGAGAGAGGAGCATGAAGATGGCAATGTCTGCGGCTCGCACTTGGCTATAAATTGGGCCAACTTAAATTTCATTTCACACATGTTGCAGCCAGCGAATCCATTTTAAAGGCTTTCGCCTCTGCACATTCTACGTGCCAGGCCGATTCGACAAGTGGCCAAAGGATACGTGACCATTAAGTGCTTTATTCTTTTGTGCGTGAAAGTAATTTAAGCTTTTGCCACTTAAATTCAACTGGTCCATGGTAGAAATTTGAATTTGCACTTGTTAACTTAGCATATTTAATTAATGAATTACTGCGGCAGCATTTGCCTTGATTGTGTTTGCCAAGTGAGATCATTAGTGTAATTTTATACAGTTGATTAAATTTTATTTATCTATATGGCAAACTCGAAAATCCAATCCTAATGCTCAGCGAAGCAATGTGTGCAAATTATCTAACCAAGTCCATAATAATAATAATAATAATAATAATAATGGAAGCTGTGCTTATAGCACATTTTACTGCTAATTTAATTATTATGCACAATTGTTTTAAACGACTCGATAGAAATTACAGTTAACGAGACCAAAATTCCGTTTGGCAACCCATGCCAGAAATAATATTTAAGTGGCAGGAGATGCGGTTGCAGCAATAAATCAAAATTAATTTATCTGTAGCCAACGAAAAGGAATTTTCAATTACGTTGCATTGCACACAAAACAAAATTTCCAAATTAGTTATTAAACAAACTTTTGCGACAGTCAGTGTAATGGAAGCTATCAAGCCGGGCCGACAACAGGAAGCAACTGGGCAAGCCAAGACGTAATTAAATATTCACACTGCCATTGAGAGAGACCGAGACAGAGACAAAGAGAAAGAGAGGAGAGAGAGACAGAGACATTTGGCTTGCATCGACTGTGGACAAGTGCACAAAGCATTTCGTCCTAATCTTAAGTTCAGTTCCGGTCTTGAACGTAACAATTTTAATAGACATCGCTAGCAGGCAGTCTTAATTTGAACAAGTAGAACATCAAAATGCATATAACATTAAAATTAGATTCATGAGCCAGATGTGATTTGATGCTATATATACATATACATATACATATATATATATATATATATAAATATCTCTGTGGGAATGTAGCTTAGATGGTCGCCTCGACTACTCTTCCGTGGGCTGGTCTGATGGTTGTACTGTCGATAGTGCTGTACTGCTTTCACCCGATATTCGGTTAGCATCGTTTATTTCGGCCATCAGCTTCTGGTGACATGGATGGGTTTTTTCCAAGCCCGGTTCCACTTCGGGCAGTCGCTCCTCCTCATCCTCTAGGCTATGCTTGGTTGAATTCATTGATAGCATCTCGCTGTCTTCCGTTATTGGTATGCTGTGTGTTTCCGCCTCCTCATTGATCTCGCAAATCTCTTCCAAACAGCTCTCGGCCATCGGCATCGTCTCGGACTTCAGGCTGATATCCGAGCTGATCACATCGCCAAATTCCTGGGCAATAAGACGACGTGCCAGCGGCACTGATAGAAACTCCTTGTAGTGCTGCTTACGGCGTCTCTCGAACTCCAAGCGACGCACCTTCTCATCGACCGACTCGGGATAATCCTCATCAGCGGACGAATCATCCGAATCGGCATCGATGCCAAACGCCGGCGTCTCACACTGGGCGGCCAAGCGCAGCTTCTCCATCAACGTGGTGGTATCCAAATCATGCGGCAGGTCACTTTCGAAAACGAACGGCGTTTTCGGCTCATCGATTATCATGTGGCCATAGTCCTTGTTCGGCGGATGAAAGGTCGCCAGCACATTCATCTCATCGAACTTGGCCGTCTTGATCATTGAACTGTTGTTGTTGAAAGGTGTTACGCCCTTCAAAATACCCCTTACGCTATCAACGTCCTCCATAACTATATATTTGAATAAGGCTAACACTATAAAATATATGTATGTTTGATGAAAATTATCGAATAATAATAATTTTCCTTGAATTTTCTCTTTTTCCAACACCTTTGATTCTGGCTTTTATATTTTGAAAATATTTCCTTGAAGTAGCCACGCAAATTGACAACAAAATCTAAGGCAAAATTATGAAAGTTCATAGCCGAATGTCAGATGAAAATCTTTAAATCTTTGGCTAGCTGTGCTCAATTAAGCCATGTCAAACCGTTGGCTGCCAACGTCACAGCCGCAAAGCAAACTCATTTCGACGTGGGATAGAGATGTGAAGTGGATAGAGAAAGCGTTCGAGCAGCGATTTATTATTGATCCGTGCGATTGTTGATATTGATGTAAACATATTCATCATGCCACAGAGTTGTATCGCTTGCTGCACATCACTTCGAACTGCATGTGAATGTGTGTGTGTGTGTCTGTGAATGTATTGCGAATTGATTGCAGCGCATTATTTCACAATTTTGCCAGCAAATAAACAAAGTTGGCGCAGGCCGGAACTAGCAGCCAGTCACTGAGGCATGCATATTGCGAGCAGCTATGCTGCTTATCAGCTCAGTCCACGCGACAAGTTGTACGATAAAGGCAACGACAAGGATGCTGCTGCTGCTGCTATTGCTACTGCTGCTGCTGCTGATGATGATGAGATTGATGTGTGTAAAGTTTTCGGCAGCTTTGATAGCTGACAGTGGACCTGCTTTGAATGCTTGCTGTTCGATTTACGAAATTGCAGCTGCACGATTGGATCTTATGTAGTCACCGGAAGCCCCGGTGCAAGGCCTGTATCAATCGAGCAACGAGTTGTGCAGCAGGCAGAGAGGCTGGGTTAGACTTCGGCATCCGTTGTTGAAGGCGCAGGATATGTGGCAACAGCTACTTGCCACACACATACACACACACAGAGTGCCAGCCACATACGTTCAGGCAATTTTATGGCAATCATAAATTGCACTTGATTTTAGCTTTTCCGCAACAGAATTTTTACGCAACACAATGCAGCATCCGCTTGAGTTCGAGTTCGAGTTCGAGCTCGAGTTGTTTGCGAAAGACGCTCAGCTGCTGGCCAGGCCACCCACAGAAACCAATTGATATTAGCCGGGAAGCTCTTGGCCAGCGTCCAGTTGCTCAGGCATTTTCTCGTTTGGCAGAGGCGTTATGCATATTTATTAAAAACTGTCTGCTGCGATTAAAAGCCAATCAGGCCAATTGCGAATTCCTTTTATTGGCCCTACAGCTTTATAAATATTTAAAATTTAATTTCGAGCACCACAGCGCGTATACTTGATGCTGTGGCTGTTCGAATACATTTTTCTGCAGCTAGATTAAAATTTGTGTGTGTGTGTGTGTGTGTGCATTTCTGCATCAGTATCTGCATGTGTGTGTGTGTGTATTTGTTTGTGTGAGCCAGCCAGGTGCCTCGCCGCGCCTCGGCTTTGGCTCTGCAGTGCAATCGAAGCGTGAAACGTTGAAGCTCAGCAGACTCTCGCAAAAGGCAAACACGTTGAGCGCAAATGTAGCGCGTTTCCTTTTTGGCTTTTACGCTACACTCCCAACCGGGACAAGGACCACAGCCAGTGCCATCCCGTTGCCCAAAGCCCCAAATAGTACCACTTATGTGTGTGTGGGTGTGTGTGTGTGCGGCAGTTAGCTAGCGCTTGACAGCTTGGCAAACAGTTAAATAAAGTTGGCAGCTTTCCCGCTTGTGGTCGGGGCCCACTGTTATCCTCGCATGGCAGCTAGTATGAGTAGTTAATACTGAATGCTGAGCATTCGCCTTTCAGCTTTATAGCGAAATTTACCGATATCTAATTGAGGCTTTATTTGAATCTAGCTGCTGTCGATTACAGCGCAGTAGCAAGTCTCGCTAACCGAACATAAATTACAGCACATCATCTGCGTTTCTATGGCCAGGTCAACATAATTAGTTTTCCAAGTCAATTTGATTTTCTGCTTCGATTGACAAGCTTAACTCAAATGCAATTTAAAACGTGTAAACAAGCCTGGCCGCTGTCAAATTTGCGAATCTATCAATAAGTTACGATTTATCAAAACGAATTTAACCATTTTTAAAGGGAAAATATTTCTTCTGCCACTCGGCGTATAACAAAAAATTGATTTACAACTAAGTCTTAAAAAAAAAAATAATATATTCCACATATATGAATTTATACTAATGCTTAATATTTTAATATTTTTTTTTTATTTTTTAGTAACCACTACTATTTTAACGAACGACTAAATTAAGTTTTTTTTTCTCAAATTCTAAAGTGCACATGTTCCTAAGCTTAAAATAATCAACTTCTAAATTAATGAAAAATATGTAAATATTAATTATAATTAATTTAAATTCATTTCAAATTGTTTTCAAAATATTGTGCTTATTAAAGTCTTCTGTACAACATTTAAAGCTCGCTCGCACTACTATTTTTATGAACACAGTTGTATATAAGCTTAAGATTCTATTTGGAATGACTTAGTTCAATATGTTGGCTCTCCTATCAGTATTGCAATTCAGTTGATTGGAGTCAGATATAAAAATTAATTTCGAATGATTCGCTTCAAGCTCTTGACTCTTTGCTTATGATCAATTTAGCTAACCAGCAAAAAAACAAATTTTCCCGACTATGCCTGTACATGCCTGCCACCTGGTTAAATCACGATTCATTAATACTTTAATTCGTCTAATAAATTTTTAATATTTTTTATTCACCTCTCTGCACAAAAAGTTCTGATCTCTTATTTATTAAGACTTGATTATAGTAAAGAATAATTTATATATTAAATTAGCTTTATATATAAACATCTTTTAAATCTGTTTAGTAGCATCTTCAGTAAATCAAAGACAAATATAAGGTTGCTTCTTACATTTATTATATAAAATTACAGTCTTAAATTGTTCTTTTTTTGTTTTACTTCAAATGGCACTTGATAATTTAGACCACAAACGTGATTTTAGCAGGAAGGTCCACAGCTACTGCAACATCCGCCGGCAGGGCCAACGGCACATCCACCGCAGCAGCCGAAGCAAGGGCCTGTGGCATAGCAGGGTCCGCACACATTAGGTCCGAAGCAACCGCCGCCGCAGGGAGAACAGCCACCGCAGGGTCCGCAACACATGATTGATCTTAAAGCAAAAAAGAATATTGTAAAAAAAATTAGATTTGAAATTTGCTAAATTAATTTCTTACCTTAAAACCCAAAAAAACAAATCAAGACTACAGAAGAATTTAGATGTTATTGCTTTGGAATGTTATGTAAGAATAAGGCTCTAGGGAAAAGCCCGAATATAGCTGGAGCTAGAGTGAAGTGGAAGTCAGAGGCAACTCGACTAGAACAAGTTTGATAAATTATCTATAAGGATAAAGCAAAAATGTTAAATGTTTTTTAGCCAAAAACTTATTAACTCGATTTATTGCACACACGTGTTGTTGCAGCGGCTGCATTTTTGCTTTTGCCATTTAATTGGTAGTAAAATTTAGAGTCCCATTGCAATTTCATGGCACACAATGGCTCACTAATGAATATGAATAACAAGAAACTCGAATGTGCCAACACGCACGCGACTCGGCAAAGTTGACAACAGCAGCAACAAAGCGGGCAAACAAATAAACAAACAGTCAGCTGATTGTGCGCCAAGACAAACAGACGGACAGACAGACAGACAGACAGTCACTGGAACAGGGAACAAACTACTTACTTACTTAAGAGGACTTTAGCCACTTATGTGGGGCAAAGGCAAACAAAGTTATGCGGCAAGTTGAGCCATTTGTTGTTGTTATTGTCTGCGCTATGCAACTGTCTTTTCACATAATGTCTCTTGGTTGTTAAAGTTGCCTTTACTCTACAGTTGCTCTATCGCTCTCCCTCGCGCTCTGTGTCCGCGAAGCGAACGCAAAACTCACATAAATTACGCGCCAGCAAAAGTCACAAAATGTCAAATGCAGCAAACACGACCAAAAAAAAAGTACAGCGAATTGCAACGACAAAGTGCAGCAAAATTGTGTGTTCAAGGAAAAATTACGATTGCCCGCGGTTGAGTCATCGTTTGGAGGCCTGCGACTCCAAAGCTCCATGGCTCCACAGCTCCCGAGTTTTTTCGGAACTTTATGCCAGGAAATGCGACCAATTTGTAGTCATCGCCAGCCATATAAATGCACGCCCATTGTCTGCCTGGCCACGTTGGTTCCTGCTGGCTCCTGGTCGATACGCGCGTGCTGGCCTTCAAAACTGACAGCCAAGCGACAGCAGCCGTGGGCTCAAAAATACGCGCAAAAAGGAAATATAAAAAAACTATAATAAACTAACTATGATTTATGGCCCTTTGGGCACCGCCAAACCGCAATAGAAAGTTGAATGGCAAACTAGAATTTCGCCAATTAAATTATAGAGCATATAAAAAAGACACACAGATTCTAAATGTCAATTCAAATTTGTAATGTGTGTAACAATTATTTACAAATTTAAGAAGTCGCCACACAGAAAAATAAAGAGCTGAATTTAAAGAAATATATATTTTTAAATATTATATTAAAATATAGACATTTTATAATTGAATAGACTTTGCTTTACTTTTTGATATACCATTATTAAATTATTAAAAATTAATAATAACAAAAATGAAAATAAAATATTTAAAGAAATATATTTTATAAACATTTAATCTAAAATATTGTAATTGAATTTTTTACTTTAAGAAATATATATAATAAAATAATAAATAAATCTAGAACTATTCAAAAATTATATATATAGAAATATATTAATTTTTAAAATATAATAAATATATATATGTGTCGGAGCGTACTGTATGTACGCACTGTATTTGATAGTTCCTGCGTGTTGCACGTACGCGCTGTGTGTGTATTGCTTTGTATGAGAATTCTGGTTATTACCAGAATTCCTGTGTGTGTATTGCTTTGTATGAGAATTCTGGTTATTACCAGAATTCCTAATTTCATCATACTAAAAAATATTGCATCAGCCGCTAATTGCGCCCTGATTGGTCCTTTGCATTTTGTCGCTTTAAGAAGTCCCGTTATAGCGCGACGACAGCGCTACAACGCTGTCGTCGAGTGTGGTTCGGTGCGAGGCAGAGAAACGAAAAGGCGAGCAGTTCAACTTTGAATCGAGAAGCCTGCGCATCGAAACTCGCTGCGCTATTAGAGCCATGGAAAATACTAACGACGCTCCAACATCAGAAGTGGGATCAGCACCACCTCCTGCATTCTCAGAGGATCAGTGGCGCATAATTTTACAAATGCAGAACCAGAATCTGCTGGAGCTTGCAAGAACCATGCAAGCGTCAACACGGGAGCAACAGCAGACTCGTGGCGTCACTTTGCCAAAATTTTTCTCTGACACTGCAGGTGCAGATGCCTCAAAGTGGTCCATCACAGCTGACATTATATTAACGGAACAGCCCCTAGAAGGAAGCAGACTCATCATGGCACTAAGCGAAGCTATGGTGAGCAGTGCCTCACAGTGGCTAACTCAAATTGCATATCCCGGCATTAAGTGGATTGAATTTAAGGAATTATTCCTCCGCCGCTACGAAAATAGTGAAACGTCGTCGGCAATGTTTCTAAATCTACTAAACAGTCGCCCAACTAACGGCGAATGTCTTGCGGTTTATGCTAGCCGTTTGGTGACCACTTTAACTTCCAATTGGAAAAACAAAAACATCGAAGAAATTGCTGTTTCAATTGTGCTCGCGCATTTAGCCAATGTGGATAACCGCTTGGAACGGATTGTGTTCACGTCAAAAGTTCAAACTAGAAGTGACTTGCAATCCGAACTAGGCGCATTCTCCTTTAAAAAACATCGTAATGTTGACCGTGATGACGACTCCGGACCTGGACCTGACGCCAAGAAGAGGAGAATATTGACAATAGTGTGCCATTTCTGTGGCAAACCAGGACATAAAATTGCTGAGTGCAGAGCCAAAATGCGACAAAAGGGGGACGCGACATCTCAGCGAGACAAGCCAACTGTTACTTGCTTCAAGTGCGGCCAGCCTGGACACTTCGCAAATCAATGTCCGAAAAAGGAATCAACAAGTACACAGGGAGCATTCCAACGGAAAACTGTGAACCAGTGCTTTGTACCAGAGCCAACTGGAGTGATGATGCAGCTCGGTGAGACTTACCCAATTTCTTTTGATTCTGGCGCAGAGTGTTCACTCATTAAAGAGAAAATATGTAGTAAGCTAGCTGGTAAGCGTTTTAACAGCATTATCATGCTAAAAGGTATAGGCGATACTGGCATATATAGCACCTTACAAATATTAAGCCAAGTCACCATAAATGAGAACGCACTTCAAATATTGTTCCATGTAGTGCAAGATAATCATTTGAAAAGCGACATTGTTATCGGCCGCGAAATTCTTAAACAAGGATTTAATGTCACTATATCACAAAACAAGTTTAACGTAGTAAAAGCCAAAGCCGTAAATATTTGCTCAATAGATAGGGAACCAGTTGACCTTACAAATCTCGATACCGAATTGCGCGAGGCTGATAAAGACAAACTAATAAAAATGCTTGAGAATTACTCCACTGCACTTGTAAAAGGGGCACCATCTACACGAGTCACGACAGGGGAAATGAAAATTCGTTTGATTGATCCAACCAAAACTGTACAACGCCGGCCCTATAGACTTAGCCCTGAAGAAAGAGACATTGTCCGAGAAAAGTTAAGTGAGTTACTTAAATGCAACATCATTCGACCCAGCTGCTCCCCTTTTGCCAGTCCTATGCTGCTTGTCAAGAAGAAAAATGGTACAGACCGACTTTGTGTCGACTACAGAGAGTTAAACTCTAACACAATCGCAGACAGGTACCCTTTGCCGCTCATTAGCGACCAGATCGCTAGGCTGCGTGGCGCAAATTACTTCACGTGTCTTGATATGGCGAGTGGTTTCCACCAAATTCCTATCCACCCTGATTCCATAGAATACACTGCATTTGTGACCCCGGACGGTCAATATGAGTTCCTGACCATGCCGTTCGGACTCAAAAATGCGCCATCCGTTTTCCAACGGGCAGTCATGCGTGCCTTGGGTGACTTGGCCTATTCATACGTGATTGTTTACATGGATGATATCATGATCGTGTCACCCACAGTCGAATTAGGATTGGAAAGGTTGAAAATAGTACTAGACATTCTCACAGATGCTGGATTCATTTTTAATGTTAACAAATGTAGTTTCTTAAAAACAGTCGTTCAATATCTGGGATATGAGGTAAGAGCAGGGGAAATTCGACCAAACTCGCGAAAGATTGTTGCGTTAACATCGTTGCCACCGCCACAGACGGTTTTTGGTGTACGGCAGTTTATTGGTCTTGCATCCTATTTTCGCAAATTCGTACCCGGATTCTCTCAAGTCATAAAGCCGTTGTATTCCCTAACATCAGGAAGGGAAAGTTTTGCGTGGACTACTGAGTTGGAAAGCATTCGCAAGAAAATTGTGACTATTCTTACAAACGAACCAGTTCTGGTAATATTCGACCCGCAATACCCTATAGAACTACACACCGACGCTAGCTCAATCGGATTTGGTGCCATGCTTTTACATCGAATTAACAATAAGCTTCACGTTGTAGAATATTTTAGTAAAACAACTTCGCCAGCCGAGTCTAGGTACCACTCGTATGAGCTTGAAACTCTGGCAGTATTTGCATCCGTTAAACATTTCCGTCACTACTTGCTTGGCAGAGAATTTGTGGTTTATACAGATTGTAACTCGTTAAAGGCATCGCGAACCAAAATAGACTTAACTCCTAGAGTTCATCGCTGGTGGTCTTATTTACAATCTTTCAAGTTTGACATACAGTACAGAGAAGGAAAACGTATGGCACATGTCGACTTCTTATCTAGAAACCCAGTCACTCAGAAACAATTAATTTTGGAAAAAATTCCCGAGAAGCGAATAAACATAGCAGAAATCTCAAATAATTGGTTGTTTGCCGAACAGCAATTGGACCCGGATATTGCTGCCCTTGTCAGTAAACTGAATTCAAATGACCTACTAGACGAAGTAACTAAAACATATGATTTGAGAAAAGGGATGTTGTTTCGTAAAATCCAAAAAAATGGTAAGACACGATGCTTGCCAGTTGTGCCCCGAAATTTCAGATGGTCAGTAGTTAACCAGGTACATGAGTCAATCATGCACCTTGGTTGGCAAAAAACACTTGACAAAGTTTACCAATTTTACTGGTTTGAGAAAATGAACAAATATGTCCGTAAATTTGTTGACAATTGTATAACCTGTAGGACAGCAAA